CTTCTTGAGTTATTAAATGTTTTAGCATCATGTAGTGATCATTTTAATCTCCTAATGCTTTAGTTAGTAAATCTATTTAGAGTGATGCTAATAGTGATACTATTAGAGTGATGCTAATACCTGCCAATTGCTTAGATTTTGATTCATGCATAGGATTTATTGAATCATTTTACTTCCAAATGTTCTGAATATTTAGATTTCAAACTTGTCTCTTATAAACTGCTTTGGACTTTTTGTCTTTTGTTCTTTGCGCCACGTGAAGCTAAAATATTGTAGATCAAATTCATCCTAATTAGCAAATGCCATAAAAATGAAAGTTGGCTGCAGAATTCCACGTACCTTCTGGATTTCTGCTAAAAATGCTTTATGATGCTGTCAGTTCAATAATTACTTTTAAGAATATATATTTACTCAGGATTATTAGCTGGTTTCAGCAGGAGGGTTGATCTAGATAATTTTCCATATTACAACAAATTAAAATGAAAAAATAGTAAAATTTTAATACATTAAATTTTATGATTTAGTTTTAAGATGTGGTAATTCATTTATGTTAAATAATTTTCTTATTATGGAGGACATTTTAAGTTTTCTTCATGCTTTAAGATACACTTTACATACAATAAATTTACCTCTTCTAATGTATAGTTCTGTTTTGTGTCCCTATAGAGTTTTACTTTTTTTCAGAATGTCATACAACTGGAATCAAGTAAAAGTATGCAATATTTTCTTTTCTTTTATTTATTTTTGAGGCAGAGTCTTACTCTGTCACCCAGGTTGGAGTGCAGTGGCACTGTCTCGGCTCACGGTAACCTCTACCTCGCAGGTTTAAGCGATTCTCCTGCCTCAGCCTCCTGAGTAGCTGGGATTACCGGTGCCCACTACCAGGCCCAGCTAATTTTGTATTTTTAGTAGAGATGGGGTTTCATCATGTTGGCCAGGCCAGTCTTGAACTATTGACCTCAAGTGATCCACCTGCCTTGGCCTCCCGAAGTGCTGGGATTACAGGCTTGGGCCACTATGCCCAGCCAGTATGTAGTCTTTTAAATCTGGCTTTTTTTTTTTTTTTTTTTTTTTTGCTTGGCATAGTGCACTTGGCCATGTTTTGTGTATCAGTAGTTCATTCCTTTTTAATCCTGAATAGTATTCCATTGTATGGATGTACCATAATTTGGTTATCCATTCACCTTTGAAGAACATTTGTGTTGTTCCAGTGTTGGAAGATTACAAATAAAGCTGTATAAACTTTTCTATATCTGCTTTTATGTAAATACAACTTTCATCTTTGAAGTGGCAATGCTAGATTGTATTGTAAGTAAATACTTAACTTATTAAGAAGCTGCTAAACTGTTTTTCTAAAGTGACAATACTATTTTGCATTTCCATTAGGAATGTATGAGAGTTTCGCTTTCTCTATATGATCATCAATATTGTCAGTTCTTTTGATTTTAGTAATTGTAATAGGCATGTAGTAGTATGTCATTAGGATTTTTCATTTGCTTCATAACTAATGAACTCAAGGGTCTTTACATGTAATTATTCGTTATATGAATATCTTCTTTGGTGAAGTGTCAACTCATGTATACCTATGTAACAAACCTGCACATTCTGCAAATGTATCCCAGATCTTTAAAGCAAAATTTTTAAAAAGTGACCAAACGAAAAGAAATTTTGTCCTTTTTGTATTACATTGTTGTTTTCTTAGTATTGAGTTTTGAAACATCCTTATATATCTTTGTTATAAGTTCTTTATCAGATAAAAGATTTGCAAGCATTTTCTCCTATTCTATGGCTTATTTTTTCAAAAGGCACAATAATTTAATTTAGATTTCACTTTTAGGTATTGATCCATTTTGAGTAAATATTTGTATGTAAAGTATGCCTTAATGATTTCTCTTTCTTTTGTTCCTCCTTCCCTCCCTCCTTCCTTCCTTTCTCTCTTTTTCTCTCTTTGCATATTGTCTTAGTTTACTAGTGTTGCTATGATAGAACACCCAAGACTGGATGATGTGTAAAGAACAGAAATCTATTTCTTACAGTTCTGGAGGCTGGGAAGTCCAAGATCAAGGTGTCTGCAGATTTAGTTGTCTGGTGAGGGCTGCCCTCTGATTCCAAGATTGTGCCTTGTTGCTGCATATGTGTCCTTATATGGTGGAAGGCAGGGGGCAAGAGGGTCAAATGCTGAGTGAAGCCCCTTTTATGAGAGCCTTAATCCCACTTATAAGGGGAGGAGCCCTCATTACCTAATCACCTCTTAGAAGACCCACCTTTTAATGTCATTACATTGCCATTAAGTTTTAACACCTAGATTTTGAAGGGGACGTATTTCAACACCAATTGTTTCTGCACTGAATTACCCTTTCCCATTCAGTGTGATGCTAGCTATAATATTTTGGTTATTTGTTTTTTAAATGGATGCCTTTATTAGGTTAAGGGAATTCCTATCTATTCCTAGATTACTGAGTGCTATTCATTCTATCGTGAATCTATATAGAATTTTGTCAATTATATTTTCTGCACCTATTGAGATGTTCATCTTTTTCTTATATGGTGAATTACATCAATTTATTTCCAAATGTTTGCCCTGCACTCTTATCATAAACCTCATTTATTCATGATGTATTATTCTTTCTATTGTTAAATTTCTTTTGCTAGAATTTTCTCAAGGTTTTTTGTACCTATGTTTATGTGGGATATTTAATGTTGTGTAGTTATCTTTTCTTGTAACATCTAGATTTTGGGTTAAGGTAAGGCAGGTCTCCTAGATAAAGTGGGAAGTATTTCCTTGTCTTAAATTTTCTGGAAGAGTTTGTATATAATTGGTTTTATTTATTTCTTAAAGGTTTGGTACAATTTAACCATGAAAACTTTGGTGCCTGGAGTTTTATGTGTGGAGGTTTTTAACTATCATTTCAATTTCTTAAATAAATGTGCGGCTATTCTGGTACACTTTTTCCTCTACCTGGGATTCCCTTCACTCATTGCCTACCCCTCCATCCCCCTCAACAAGAGTCACTACTACAAGTACTTTCAGATCAGCTCCTCTCTCACTTTCCCAAAGCTTTCCCTAACATGTACCGCTTTTTCAAGATTTCCTCCCTCATGCCCGCAATACCCTGTGCGTGACTACTATTGATTTTATAGCAGCATATAGAGAATATTAAACATTCTCTACATTAAAATTTTTTCTGTTTATGTGTTTTCTTTCCCAACAGACTATACAATTGAGGACAAGAGCTATGTCATTTTTATTATCATATCCTTGGTATCTATACAATAAAACATGGATTTACACATATTTACACATTGCATCTATTACACAAGCATGCAGTGAAGATATAGGTACATTAGATATGTATATACATACTTTAACATATACATGTAACTATGTACTTATGTACATATATGTACATAAGTAATTCACCTATATACATATATGTCAAAGTCATATGTGATAGTCATATATATGTAAAAGTCTGTTTTTGCCAGTTCTTTAAAACAAAAATCATCAGCATCATAAATTTATTGAAGCTGACTACCCTTTCTTAACCTTATGAGATTTAAAAAATGTTTGAAATATTTTTTTAAGCCCACGAAGTTTACTTTTGTGAGGAAAGCCAGGTTGAGGGCAATGGTATTTCTACATTTCCTGGGGCTTAACTGAAAGAATATAGAGAGAGGACTGGGTGCAGTGACTTACACCTCTAATCCCAGCACTTTGGGAGGCCGAGGCAGGCGGATCACCTGAGGTTGGGAGTTTGAGACCAGCCTGACCAACATGGAGAAACCCCGTCTCTACTAAAAATACAAAATTAGTCGGGCATGGTGGCGCATGCCTGTAATCCTAGTTACTCGGGAGGCTGAGGCAGGAGAATTGCTTGAACCCGGGAGGTGGAGGTTTTGGTGAACCAAGATTGCACCATTGCACTCTAGCCTGGGCAACAAGAGTGAAACTCTGTCTCAAAAAAAGAAAGAAAGAAAGAATATATAGAGAGGTATGTATCAAGCCTGTTATGACCACGGGCCATCTGTGCAGTTACACAAAAGTGTCTGGTTTTCTTCCACATTTCTATGTGTCTTCTTTAGCATTTTCTTTTCTAAAAAACAGGCTCTATAACTGGGCATACTTGAACCCCACGATTAGACATGGATGTGGTGATTCATCAGGCTGGCTTCTAAGTACAAGCAGCCCTGGCCTTTCTAAGCCTTGACTGTTGGCAACTCTTTTTTCCCCGCTCTGAATCAGACGTGTATTTGTTTGAGTAATCAAGAAAGAACTGTCTGTCTTGTGACCTTAGAGGCTGGTGAAAGGGAGCAACTGAGTGTTTTTGGCACAGAAAGGTTAGTGAACAATGCAAATCTGTAGATCAGAGAGCACGCTGCTTGGCTGCTGACTCTGGGCAGACCTGAATGTCACAGAATGCTCTGATTGCCGGCAGGGTTTTTCACCCTCTGCCGAAGGCCATTTTAATATAAGCAGAATAGATTTCAGGTATTCCAGAAACCATTCTTAAACTCTCACTGTGTTCATTTTGTTAAATTCTGTACCTTCTATTAAGACTTGCAGTCTTTCTGAAATGAGCATTTTGAATCTGACTGTGATAAGAGCCAGTGAGAAACAGCTTTACACTTGGATGCCACTGGGAAGAAAGCACACCAAATAACCCTGCTGAGGAATGAACGAATCAGCCTGATGCAAATTAGGTGAGGAAACTGGACCGCACAGAGGGGATGTTGAAACTATTTCAAAGATGAGTGAGAGGGATGATAGCCAGTGAGTGAGCCCAAGAACTTTGATGACAATGAAGGCGAAAGAATCTGGTGGAAGAAAAGGATTCACTTCTTATAATGAATTAACTCATCCCATTTGCCTGTTAATCAATGGGTGTTTTAAAGATGCCAGTTGGAGGAAGTCCAAGTGTTCAATTTTAAAAATGCCTATTAGATTAATTACAAGAAGGTCTCTCTCTCTTTCTTTCATCTCTCATCTTTTCTCTTGTTAGGGGTATGCAGGAGTTCATTAGAAGACCAGAGAGAGAGACAAGCCACAATTCAGGAAAACATCCCAGCGGACTCCTCTCTGCCTTATGTTTGACATTCTTGAAATCTGTGCTCTCTGTCTTGAAATCTTTGAACAATGCACAACAATCTTAGGCTTGCCCAGGGAAACCTGTTCCATTAGATGAGGTGAGCTGATTACATACCTTCTTTGACTTGTGTTCCCAAGTGATCTTATTCCAGATATGACTTGGGGATACTTGTATGAGCCATTCTGATATTGTCCTAAAAGGAAATTATTTTGGAAGTAAAGTCACTGATAAAATCAACTCAGGAAAATGCACTCTGCAAATATGAGAATATGAGCGTTATTAAAAGCCATGCTATAAAAATACCAATGGTTATTTTTACTGAGAGTAGTGTTAAATAAAATTTATGGGAGACTATTGTTTTGGACTAAGCTCTTGCACTAGGCCCAACAGAACAGACCAAACCAGAATGGAATTACTAGTGCTGGGTCCCCAAACTGGACTTTAAGATCAGCCAGTTAAAAAGCAAACAAACAAACAAACAAAAAACGGAATCACAGCAATCAATTAAAAGGGGAACAATGAGATCACTTGGACTCGGGAAGGGGAACATCACACACAGGGGCCTATCATTGGGAGGGGTCAGGGGGGAGGGATTGCATTGGGAGTTATACCTGATGTAAATGATGAGTTGATGGGTGCTGATGAGTTGATGGGTGCAGCACAGCAACATGGCACAAGTATACATATGTAACAAACCTGCACATTATGCACATGTACCCTAGAACTTAAAGTATAATAATAATAAAAAGTAAATTAAAAATAAAATAAAATAAAATAAAAGGGGCCCAGTCAACCTGAGCCGACATAATAAGAAAGTCCCCCCGCTCTGCTTTATCTCTTTAAAGAAAGTAACTTTGAAACAACCAATCTGCTTTCTGTTCCTGTTTCTGCTTTCTTCAGGCTTTTCTGCCCATAAAGCCCACTGCCTCTGCTCAGCTTACCAGCGTGTTTTTCTGTTTCATCGACGGGATACTGTCTGATTAATGAATCGCTAATGAAAACCAATTAGATCATTAAACTAAATTTGTTGAAATTTTTACTTTTCAACAGTAGTTACACAAGAACAATAAAATATCCTTAAGAGGAAAATGAGAATATCTCATCTGAGACATGTGAGACAGACAGAAAAAGGTTTAAATAATTATATTCAAAAGCATTATGTAAACGACAAATAACACATGAAAGTCGAATCTGAAAGGAACAGGAATTAACTTTATAAAGGGAGACAAACAAAAATCAGGTTTCTTTCCGCATCTCAACATGGAGGATTTTCCTTTACCTCTGGCCTCCTATTTCTGTGTGCAGAAACTTGCTTCAGCATGTCAGTCCCAGCTCTAGCTATCCTGATTCACTCCTCCCTAGAGGGAATGAGCTCACCAGGCTGACTCTGCCCCTGTGGGGACTGTCTGGGGAAGGCCTGTCATTCCCTGGCTCTGCCTTGGCATCAGTGCTCTGACAGTCTCTTTCAGGGGTTATGTGTTAGGGGCCAGGGATGACTGCAGATCTAAAGCCACATTTTAAAATCCACTCTCTCTGAGGCAGTGGGCTGACTCCTCTTCTCTTTTTCTATTGGTTCTGAATTTCGTTAGGAAAGGAAATGGTCGTTTGTAGACCCTGCTAAAGCTCCAATAGCTGATTATAAAACAAGATTCTATGACATGCAAGAGGTATATCTAAGTCAGAAAAATTATGTAGAATTTCTTTTCCTGACAAGAAACAAACTGAAAAAAGAAAAAGCAAACCTCTGTATGTTTATTTGTTTGTACTATTGTATGATATCAGAAAGGCAGCCGTATAAAAGAGAATCAGGCTGCAGGGAGCTGAAGGCTCCACTAAATGGGGATAAACTGACCAGAGAAGAACTGAAACTGTTAAGAAGCCTGAAAGAAGAAAAGAATTATGAATTTTGCTCCTCTCTCCTTCCAAAAGAAAGTAAATGCACATGTTTGAGAGGGAAGCATGGCCATAGATATCGTTATGCCATGTAGTAAAATCAGATTCCAGACCAAGGGAAATCAATTTCAGGCTTTAAATAAGGATCCATCTCTATGAGAGGCCATGAGGCTGTGCCCAAAAAATCTTCCCAGTGAACCGGAGGAGGGAGTGTTCTCTATGGGTAGGAGAAAGCTTCACTTCAGAGAAAAGAAGGAAGGACTAAGAGAGTTAGAGGCTGGAGGGAAAGAAGGGACAAGTAAAGGGAGTGGAAAATGGTTTGACCAAAGACAGGCAGAGCCACTCATATGCAGATTTCAGGTGGAGTATTATTTTCACTTGGACTAAGAAAACAAATGATGACTTCTTAACTCTTATAAACAGCACTACTCATTGAAAACCCTGGTATCAGTGTGCAAGAACTCAGTGGGGACTTTAGAATGACAGTGTCTTTAGCTAAATAACAAGTGACTGAAATTCAGACCCTTCCACAGCTGCTTTATCTGCCTAGCATGTCTTCTCCTCCACTACCAGTCCCCTGGATAAAATAGACCTGGTCCAACTCCTACTCATTCAAAACTCTGTTGAAATGGCTTCTCCTCCAGAAGGCTTTCCTCATCCCTTTCAATTCCCATTCCCCTCACCAACCTTACTTGTCTCCTCTCAGATTCTGACTGGCTGGCTCAGTGTTTCAGAACTTGAATCTACATGTGAGGCCGAGGTGGGCAGATCAAAAGGTCAGGAGAACGAGACCATCTTGGCTAACACGGTGAAACCCCATCTCTACTAAAAATACAAAAAATTAGCTGGGCGTGGTGGCGGGCACCTGTAGTCCCAGCTACTCGGGAGGCTGAGGCAGGAGAATGGTGTGAACCTGGAGGCGGAGCTTGCAGTGAGCCCAGATCGCACCAGTGCACTCCAGCCTGGGCGACAGAGTGAGACTCTATCTCAGAAAAATAAAATAAAATAAAGTAAAATAATAATAATAATAATAATAATAATAATAATCTGAAAAAGGAGATTCTACAAACTCTTTTGGTAACATTCTACAGTCAACATTTTCTCTAAGTCAAACATATGCCTCCACTTTAAAATGAAAGACTATCTCCTAATTTTTTACATCAGTTGAAAACAAAATCATCTGCTTTAATTCCCTGTATTCTCTCATACATGTAAACATTCATATTGGCTGTTTCTCATTCTCCCCTTATTAAAATAAACCTATATCTTTAACCTTTTCAAATAGTCTTTTTTCTTCTTTTAATAATTGTGCTTCTGAAAAATATTGTGTCATAATGCATAAAAACAGTGAGACAATTTTTGAAGTCTCAGAAGTGGTTCATTTAGGCTAGGGGCAGTGGCTCACTCCTGTAATCCCAGCACTTTGGAAGGCCAAGGGCAGATCACATTAGGTTAGGAGTTTGAGACCAGCCTGGCCAACATGTGAAATCCAGTCTCTACAAAAATACAAATATTAGTCGGGCATGGTGGCGGGTGCCTGTAATCCCAGCTACACGGGAGGCTGAGGCTGGAGAATCGCTTGAACCTGGGAGGCGGAGGTTGCAGTGAGCCAAGATGGTGCCACTGCACTCCAGCCTGGGTGACAGAGTGAGACTCCATCTTAAATAAATAAATAAACAAATAAATGAAAAAAAATACAGTTAAATGGGAGGAGTCAGATTATAAAAGTATATAAAAATCCCAAATTCCACAGAATTTTCTCTGTAAGCAGAAACAGCCCCTTCTTTCCTTTGTCATGAGCCTCTCCACTGATTCCTTGGAAACTAATAACAACCTTGCCTAAGACGGTTACCTCGTAAAGGGAAGCCACTTTTCTTCATGTCTGCCTGTACCACCTCTCATTGCAGTCAGTATCACCAACATCAGGTATCATCCGCATGCCACAGGGTACCAGTTTAAAACAGAGAATAGAATGCTTATAAACCAGATAATTTGAAACACTGTTAATTTGTGATGGCAAACATCTACAGAATATATGTGTGAATGAATGCTGAAGAGGCTCGACTAAGAGGGGAGACATAATTTTAAATCAGGCTGAATTTGCTAATTTAAAGCATGCGTGTCAGAATTTCTTTATTCAATATTCAAACTCAAGCAGCTGGAAGTGGCATTAGTTCTATAGTTTTTTGGCTAAAACTTGGAGTTACCAATGGCCCATATTAAATTCAAATATGAGGCCATGAATTAATTTTTTGTGATAATGTACATGAAGGAAATCATGTATACCTAGTGTCATTTCCAGTAGTAGAAGACTGTAATATTTACTCATATTTTCTCCTTTCATTGTCATGTATTCATTAACACATTTCTCTTCCACTGCCACTTCCATTTTTCTATTTCATATGGGGAAGGGTTGGTAGTGGGTAACATTAATATTTTAGTCCATAGCTTATAAATATCAAGACATGCTAGAACTAGAAAGGGAATTAATATTATGGAGGGATCGTAACTTGAAATTAGATGTGGTAACTAATGAGGTTTTGATCATTTCACTCAACACAGAGTGAGTGTGTTTTATTTGTATGATCAATAGTTACATAATGTTGGATGAAAAAAATATTGTTTAGAAATTTAAAATTGAAAGAATGGTAAGTGTTGATGTTGGGCAGCAGAGAATAGTTAATAGCTGAACTATAGTTTTTAATCCTCCCCCACCTGCTTTTGTGACTGACCTATATTTTTTGAATACCTGTTCTATACTTTGGGAAGCCATAACTATATTCCCCAGTCTCCTTTGTAGCCAGAATTTAATTCTAGCATGTAATTCAATCATTTATATCCATAAAAATAATTAGGTGAATTAAAAGCATCACTTTTAAGAAAAAAAAAAAATGAGATGTGATTCTTTTATTTACTCATGAAATAGATTAGTTCTGATTTGAAAGCATGGTCTCAGACTGAGATCTTTATAATCCAAAAGAAAAACATGGAGCTAGGAGGAAGATAGATTTGATCCATTTCTAAATTTGGACTAGACTTTGAAATATAGCATAGTTAGAATAGGATGAGAAATCTATATTAGAGACACCTGTATCTATGCAGGTTTAATTTTTTTCAGGATTTCTGTTTGTACTTCTTTATACATATTTACTAGAATTTATTTAGAAAATGTCAGCCTGTCTTAGCTTTTCTATATGGAAGCAACTGAAAGAATTTTGTCTGTGCTGTAGCCAAGTGGTAAAAAGTTGGGAGTTAGTCGTGTCAGGAGCAATCAAGTACCAGCCTTCTAAGAGGAGGGCAAAGCCAGGGCGAGAGTCAGAGGCTGCTTATATAACTGGAGAGCTTTTGGAACTCTCTTCTGTTCAAACCTTGGAAGGAATGGCTTTGTTTTAATTAAGGAAGCTAACAC